TGGAGGGAGGGGGGGATGGGGCGTGAGAGAGGAGGGAAGGAGGTTGAGATCTCAGGACCTAGCTGTGTGTGCCCTGGAAGCTTGACAGCCTCAACATTGTCACGCCCACCCCTTCCCACCAACAAAAAAACGCAACGGACAAAAAAGAGAACTCAAAAGACTGCCGACTGAGTTTCTTTGCCTCTCTGTTAACATGTGGCCTGACCCCCACTCCACCCTGTCAACCACCATCACAACTCCCCTGACCCCTCTCCCTCATCAGCCCTTCAAGGAAAAATTTGGAGCGGAGCCTGTGTCCTATGTATCGTCGTCGCAGTCGTCGTCGTCGTCGTCGTCGTCGTCGTCGTCGTCGTCGTCGTCGTCGTCGTCGTCGTCGTCGTCGTCGTCGTTCGCGTTGTCGTCGCCCTGGCCCGCCCTCCTCCTCTTACTTCTTCTCCTCATGCTCCTCACACTCGATTCCTGAGAGGGCGCTGCCCGCGAACTCGAGCGATCACAGGCCAACTCCATCGTGAAAGGAGGGGGAGGGAACTGGGGAGGGAAACAGAAGGTGAAGGAAATGAGGTGGCGGGGGAAAGGAGGGAAGGGGGTGAGGAGTGAAGGAAGAGGAGGAGGAGGAGGAGGAGGAGGAGAAGGAGGAGGAGGAGGAGGAGAAGAAGGAAAAGGAAAAGGAGAAGGAGGAGGAGGAGGAGGAGGAGGAGGAGAAGGAGGAGGGGTAAAGGAGGGCGAAGGGTTGGGAGCTGGGGACGGAGGACGAGGGGCGGCGGGCCCCGGCCTCGACGTGCGCAGGAGGCCAAAAAACACGGCGCGCGAGCGCTCGGAGAGTCGCGCGGAGCGGCCGGGAGAGCCCCCCGCGCGGGGCGCCGGCGGTCTTCCTGGGCTTCCTGGGCGGCTTCCCGTACATGGGCGGGCTGCCGAAGGCGCTGGCGTCGGTGTCCAGGCGCGCCCCGCCCTGCGCTCCTCCTCCTCCTCCTCCTCCTCCTCCTCCTCTCCTCCTCCTCCTCCTCCTCCTCCTCCCTCCTCCCTCCTCCTCTCCTCCTCCTCCTCCTCCTCCTCCTCCTCTCCCTCCTCCTCCTCCCCTCCCCTCCTCCTCCTCCTCTCCTCCTCCTCCCGCCTCCGCCTCCTCCTCCTCCCTCGTCTTGGGGGCGGTGGGGGGCCGGACGGTTTGGCGCCTCCCGGCCCGGCCTCGCCCCCCCACCCCACCCCACCGAGCGCGCTGCACCTCTCGCAGGGTGCCTACTCGCAGACGTCCGGGCCCAAAGGTGTCTTCCTCTGTGTGGTGTATCGTAAAATGCCCCTCGGAGGATCGAGGCCGTTTATCGCTTCTCGGCCCACCCACCCCTCTCTTCCCCACCCTTGCCTCCTGCTCGTCCTCCCGCTCGCCCGCCAGCGCCTCTCTCCCTCCTGCTCCTCGCCCTCCCCCTCCTCCCTCGCCTCCTCGCTCCCCTCTCTTCTCGCCCCCCCCCCCCCCTCCCTCCCCTCCACGCGTCTCGCCGTCCCGTCGCCTCCGCATCTTCCCGCTCCCACCCTCTCCTTACCTGCACCTCCCCCAGCCCCCTCCTGCTCGGAGGAAGGAGGAGGAGGTGGAGGAAGAGGAGGAGGAGATCAGCTACTCCAGGCTCTTCATCGGGAAGCGGAACTCCTGCCTCCTGTATTCTTCGTCGCTCTGAACACGGTTACGGGCGTCCTGTTGCGTGTGCTCCGTTTGGCGTTCCACCTGATTGGGTCCCGCTTGTTCAGACACGCATGTGTCTTCTAGATGGTGTCGATTCCGCTGGCGGTGCATCGTCCTCCGTGTGCGGGGTTCAGGATGGTGCTGCGCCGCGGCTTACTTCGATGCAGACGGCGGTGGGTCTGTCGGCATCGCACCCTGTGGGTCGGTCTCGGAGCTCCAAACGTAGGCGGAAGGCGGGGCTGCGTGCTGGCCAGGGGCAGGTGTATGTCTCACGGGCTCGCGCAGAAGGCGGTGGTGCCACAGGTGGCCATGACATACCCGCAAGAAGCTCACAAATGAATCACGTAAGCAATGGCACTTGGCAGCCATCGTGTGTGCACAGCAGATTCACAACGCCATCCACCGCTGATGCCGCCTGACGCCACCCTCACCCTCACGTTCGATGTATTATATGTTCTGCATGTGTTCAAGACATGGGAACTGCGGCTTCTTATTGATGGCCAGCGCACCCTCAAAACACAGGACCATCCGCGTGTACTACTTCGGGCTGCGTTGGTGTCCAACAGATGTCGTTTCGTTATGATTTCCCTCGCGAGCTTATTTCGCTTCGCGCGCAAGACAGGCTGCACTGGCACAGTCTGCCTGGCGAAGCCCCCCCGCTTGATTGCCATTGCGGCTCACACTCAAAGTGAACATTGACGGGCACGCTACGCCAACCTCACGTCATCGTTGCGCTAACCGCCTGGATCCACGACGCTCTTGTTGGCACCCACTACGGGCAACCCGTTCCTGCCGAGGTGCTCCAAGCACGGACGCTGCGCCCAGAAGCCAGGGCTTCACCTCTTCGACTTGACACCTCGATACAATGGGGCCCATGCCGAGAAACACCCTGCTTGCCTCCAGGGTGCCCTTGGGTTTCGATGGTTTTGCGATGGAAAGCGTGCCGTTCTCTCACCAAACATCGATGGACGTCCTGGGGTCTCAGGGTTGGGTTTCTTGTGGAAGGTTTCTTTTGGACTGACCTGAACTGTAGCACCAATCTCCACAGGCACGTCAGCATCCCCGCCGCTGCGTCAGGGCGGACGCGCGCCTTGCATGGGCGCTGGGCGGAGAGGGACCTCTCTCCTTCTCATCCTTCCTCCTCATTCCTCCTCCTCCTTCCTCCTCATCTTTCCTCCTCCTCCTCCTCACCATCCTTCATTCTCCTTCCTCCTCCTCCTCCTCCTCCTCCTCCTCCTCCTCCTCCTGCTCCTGCTCCTCCTCCTCCTCCTCCTTCTTCCTGCCTTTTCACGTTTACAACAAACTGAAGCAACGCGCAGCGCCGACGCCGACGCTGCTGCGTCCGCGCTCAGCGTAGCACGTGCCCTCCTGCTGCGGTGAGCCGCCTGTCTTCCAGCGCTGCAGTCACGCCGAAGCGGCAGCGTCAGTGCGCGGCCGAGGTCGGACGGACGAGTTCGCCTCAAGTTACTTGCACTCGTCCTCCTCCTCCTCCTCCTCCTCCTCCTCCTCCTCCTCCTCCTCCTCCTCCTCCTCCCCTCCTCGCCCTGTGGGTTATCGTCTCATCCAACCCGCAGTGGATATCCTCTCCTCCCTCCTCCTCCTCCTCCTCCTCCTCTCCTCCTCCTCCTCCTCCTCCTCCTCCTCCTCCTCCTCCTCCTCCTCCTCCTCCTCCTCCTCCTCCTCCTCCTCCCTGCCCCCCCCCGACATCGTCGGCCTCGCGTCCCCCCTTCCTTTGGAGCGAGCAGGTGGCGGAGGAGCCAGGACGAGGCGATAGAATCGTGTGCGTGCGTGCGTGCGCGCGTGACAAGCTTTGCGCACGCCTCTCCGCCTCGTGAGTCGCCCTGCTGGCTGTGCTCTGCCAGCCTCTCATCTGCATGGCCACCACGGCGCTCTCCACGTGCACGCGCGCGCCCTCGCGGCTGCTTGTCCGCGCGCCTGGCCCCCGGCCGGACCACCCCTTCTGCAGTGCCAGGACTCGGCATCGCTCGGACGTGTGCATTTTTTCTTCGGCGAGGACCATCGAGGAGCATCCTCGATCATCTGGCGAAAAAACCACGCACGAAATCGAAAAGAGCACAGAGAATGGACGTCCGAGCGATGGCGAGAGGAGGTAGTTGGACGAAGCGTGCCCCGGCGCAGTGCTCGCGACGGTGTGCCGCCACCCCGCCGCTGGACGAACCAGGCGCGTGCGCGCGCGTGTCCCCGCCAGGCTGCCCACGCCGCGCCAGCGGGTCCCGAAGGGCACGGTGGCGATAGCGGCTGGCCAGGCCCGGCCGCGTCGGGGCCGGGCGCCGTGCCTCGGCTGGTCGGCGGCTGCCTGTGCTGGCCCGGGCACCGGGAGGGGGGGGGAGAGCAGGAGGAGGAGGAGGAGGAGGAGGAGGAGGAGGAGGAGGAGGAGGAGGAGGAGGAGGAGGAGAGGAGGAGGAGGGGGGGGGGAGGAGGAGGAGGAGGAGGAGGAGGAGGAGGAGGAGGAGGAGGAGGAGGAGGAGGAGGAGGAGGAGGAGGAGGACGACGACGACGACGACGAAGATGCGGAAGGAGAGGAGGGAGAAGGGAGGAGCGAGGAGGATGAGGAGGAGGAGGAGGAGAAGGAGGAGGAGAAGGGAGGAGAAGGGAGGCGCCCGGCCCTGTCGCAGGGGTCGCCCTTGCTGGGGCGCGGGAGACACTGACGCATTCGACTGTGCATGTGGAGCGAGAGGAGCAGACGGTGTGAGCCTGACTAGCAAGAAGATGTCGTGATCCCCCCGGCTTCGTGGGAGGAGCCCATTGTCGTTGCCCCTCTGTCTCGAGGGCCTGGAAGGCTTTGTGCACAGGCACGCCTAGCCGCCAAGCGGCGGAAGTCTGCGGAGCACGCTCTGTCGCCCCCTATCGAGGCCTTCTTGGGGCCCTCGTGTCGCGTCCTGTGCCCCCTCTGTCACTCTCACGGGCGCTCATCAGAAATATGTCTCTCTTTGAGCATCCTATTCGATACCCCCTTCTCCGATCGTTCGCACGTGGTGGCTCTCATACAACTCGCGAGGCCCTTACACCTCGCGAGGCCCTCTGTTGACCCTCTTGGAGGCTGCCAAGACAGCCCCACAACCAGCATGGTCCCAATGTGCCCCACAAAAGGCCCCGACGAAAACACTGAAACGCAATATCTATGTCTTCCCACTCTCGTGGGCCCAAGACGGCATCCAGGCAGCCTCGGGACGGCCCCTGGGCCACCGCAGACGCGCTCCCGTCGATCCGGGCCCTCTGGAGGGCCCCGAGGTGGCCCCAAACAACAGCCTGAGATCGCGCCACGACGTCCTGGACACCATGTGGGGGCTCGAGCGCCCGACGGCAGCCCGCCTGCCAGTGCCGCGGCGCCTCGCGCGCGCGCGGGCATGCCGACCTTCGGGCGCCTCTCGGAGCCGGGAGGCCCCGCGGACGCGTGGCGCTGGGAGGCCGCCGGCGCCCCCGCAGGTGGCAGCGCCCGCCGGGGCGCGCCGGCGGCGGCGCCCTCGGCCGCGTGGCGGGGGGGCGCCCCGGAGCTCGCCCACGCCGCCCCGGGGGCCGCCGCGCTCTGGCCTCGGAGCAGGCTGTCGGGGGGGGTGGGCAGACGCCCCCAGCAGGGACGCGTCGATTCGTGACTTGTCCGTTCTCGGTTCTTCTCGAGACCCAGACCCCCTCGAGTCATGAAAAAATCACGACGGGAGGTTTTCTATGTTTTCGGCCTCCGGGGGCCCTTACTGGCCCTCGGGACCGTCAAAAAACGACTCGGGGTGAAAAACCGGTCCCGTCGAGTAGGTCCGGACCTCTGGGGGTCGCGTCATGAAAAAATCATGACGTCGGAGGTCTGGGTGTCGGGGGTGGGCAGAACCCCCAACAGTGACACGTCGATCAGTGAATTGTCCGTTTAACGGTTCTCGAGAGGGCGCCGTGGCCGTCATTTTTGTCCAGGCTCGCGCCCGCCAGGTGTGGGCCTCAGGGGTCGTCTTCACGAAGCCACGTTTTACGAAAGGGGGGTCTGTCCATGCCCGAGGCTGGAGCGGCACAGCCGGTGCACGGGCTTCCTGGGAGACGCCGCGGCGGCTCCGGGCGGGGCCGAGCGGGAGCGGCACCCCGGCGCCGGCCGCGCGCGGGCGTCCGCCTTCGCGCCGCGCTTCGCGCCGCGGGCCGATCAGGGCGTGAGGGCGTCGGCCACCTCGAGTCAGGCGGGCCACGGCGCCGGGAGCGCGATCGACGGCAGCAGCAGCACGTACTGGGCGTCCGCCTTCGACCCAGAGGCCGGCCAGCCCGTCAGGCTGGACCTCAAGCTCGGTGGGCGGAGGAGCATCACGGGGGCCAAGATCGACTGGGAGTACCCGGCGCAGGCGTTCGACGTGCAGGTCCTGGACGGCGGTGCCGCCACCACGGTCTACGCAGACCCGGACGGCTCCTCCCTGGACGCGGCGGGGACGAGGCTGGAGGCAGACCTGCACGGGGAGGCCGCCGCCGGCGACACGCTGAGGATCACCATGTGGAAGCCGCACCCGCGCTGGAGCCTCGTGGGCGGCCACCGCCTCTACGGCATCCGGGGCGTGGAGCCGCACATGGCCGCCCCCGCCGAGGTCAGGGGCTGCCCCGACCGCGAGGCCAACCGCGACGCCTGGCAGAGGTTCGGGAGGGAGGAAAAATTTGAAAAAAACACAAACAGACACAATGAATCGTCGACCTCAAGGAAAATTATGGGAAAATATGGGAAGTGTGGGGGGGGAGACGAAAATCCAGAGAATAGGAGAGAGTATAGGGAGCATGGGTATTTGTCTGTATTTCTATGTGTGTCCCTTGGCCCCTTCAGAGGTGCGCCGACCGCGCCGTGCGGCCCGGGGACTACAAGTGGGCGCTGTACTGAGCGGCCCCCAGGCGCAAGACTCTGGGCCGATGGATGGGCCGAGGGGGAAGCAAACATCAGGAGGGACAAAAAACACAGACACGATGAGTCGTCGATTCCCCGGAACATGTGGGAAGAGATGGGAAGTGTGGGGGGGAAGGCAAAAACCCAGAAGATATGGGGAAGTATGGGGAATCCAATTATTTGAGTCTATTTATTTGTGTGTCCCAGGGCCCCTTCAAAGCAGGGGAACGAATAATGACGCAAGCACAACTCGGAGGTCCGCGCGGATCCAAGAAATCCGCGCGGACCTCAGAGTTTTATGTTTATGTCATGCTTCGTTCCCCAAGGAGAAGGTCAGAAGCTGGCGCTGTACCGAGCAGGCCTCGGCGCTGGGCCTCATGCAAGAGCTTGCACGGCAATGCCGTCCCGAGCTCACTGTCCCGAAGAGAAAAGGGATGCCAGAGTCAGGTGTACCAAGAACCCAGGTTTGCTGGGTACTGCGAAGCACAGGTCGTGCAGTATGGACATCCCACCTTTCTGAGTGGATGCGCTACGCTCGCAGCACACATGGCCCCCAAATCACACACCCCGAACGCGGAGGGCCGAGGAGGAGGAGGAGGGAGATCAAGAAGGGGACGGCCAGCGCTCAGGAGGCTGCTCACCGTGAGACCCTACAGGCTTGAGGCTTACAGTCGGGGCGCCGAAGAAGGAACCCTTGCTGTTGGGGAGGGGCTCCGCGTTCCCTGAGTGCTTCGCAGCTTGCCTCAGGCTTTCCTTATGTTTTCGATCGGAAATCGAAGTCTAACTCATGGAAAAAAGAGGCCTCGTTCCTTATTTTGGGCTCCTTAGGTCAAGCCCCCGACTGTACGCCATTCCGCCGAGACCAAAAACTGTAAATTCGTCAAGAGTCGTGCCGCCGTGCCTGGCCTGTGGGTCAGGAGCCGCGGCGGTGCACGTGAGGATCTCTCCTGGAGTGCCTCCCGGAGGCCTCTTGGAGGGCTCTTGGGGGTACAGTCGGGGCGCTGAAGAAGGAACCCTTGTTGTTGGGGAGGGGCTCCGCGTTCCTGGAGTGTTTCGCAGCTTGCCTCAGGTGTTCCTTATGTTTTCGATCGGAAATCGGAGTTCAACTCATGGAAAAAAGAGGCCTCGTTCCTTATTTTGGGTTCCTCAGGTCAAGCCCCCGCCTGTACGCCACTCCGCCGAGACCAAAAGCTGTAGACTCGTCAAGAGTCGTACCGCCGTGCCTGGCCTGTGGGGCAGGAGCCGCGGCGGTGCGCGTGAGGATCTCTCCTGGAGAGCCTCCCGGAGGCCTCCTGGAGGGCTCTTGTCAGGAGGGGAAAAAACACACAGACACAATGAATCGGCGGTTCCCAGAACATATGGGAAAATATGGGAAGTGGGGGGAAGACAAAAACCCAGAAAAATATATGAAAATATGGGGGATGCTTTTATTTGTGTGTATTTATTTGTGTGTCCCAGTTCCCCTTCATCTTGGGAGTATCTGGCTGGCTTCGGGAGACCTCTCGGAGGCCTCGTGGGTGCGTCTTAGGTGCCTCTTGGAAGCTTCCCGGGGCATCTTGGGGGCGCCCCGGGAGTCACTGAGGGGGGCTCTTGGAGCAATCGCGGCGGGAAAGACTCGCGATGTCAGTTCGTGTTGCCCCTCCTGGGGCCCTCCTAGGCCGTCTTAGGGGACACCTGGTGCCCTCTTGGGCCCCCAATGGGCTCTATTGGGCCGTCTTCTGACCCTCTCGAGGGCCTAATCGGTTGTCAAGGGACGATCTTGGGGGCTCCTTGAGCTGTAGCGCATGTTGTTTGTCAAGACGGAACAAGTGTGTACGTATGTCTAAACTGCTCATTTGCGAACAGGAAATGCGACAAAAATGTGTGCCTCTGGGGGCCCTCTCAACGGCCCTCTGGGAGCACTCATGGATCGTCCTGGGGGCCTCATGGGCCGTCTTCAAGCCATCTTGGACCGTCGTAGGGATACCCTGGGCCGTCTCGACGACGCTGTTTTGAATTGTCTCGGCGCTCATTGGGCCGTCTTGGGGCTCTTTGAAGGCTCCAGAGAGCCCCGGGTTGCGGTGACGAGCTCGTGCCTCTCCCGCCCCCCCCCCACCCCCCACCCTCTGATGAGATGTTTGGCCCCAGGGGAGGGGAAAGGGGGAAGGGGACAGCCAATCATCCCACACGCCTTCTCACCCCTGGCAAGCGGGGGTCGGCGGATATGAATCGTGCAAGCCGCTGGTGCGCACAAAAACGATGTCCGTCCAAGTTTGGTGCATAGCCGATTTTTTACAAACCGCATTATCGGTACAGTCAAATGTTCGTGGAAGCTCTGTGATGGTCCAAGTGTCATGCCAATGGTAAGCATGCGATAAGTTCACGAAGACCCGATGTCCGCACAAGCACTTGTTTGTCGCGCAAGCCCTGAGTTTGGGCTTGTAACCTCGTGAGAGGTGGCGCCCATGCCGTGACGAACGATTCCCGAGCATCTGATTGTCGATCTCAGAATCGGTCTCACTATCGATCGCACATCGATCTCACTATAGATCGAACGAGCGATCTCACGGTCGATCTCACTATCGATCTCATTGAATCGGTTTGATTATCGGTCTCACGATCGACCTTCCTATCGTTCTCACAATCGATCCCACCATCGTTCACAATACCGAGATTCCAATACATCGCAATATCCATATCACTGATGTTCAAACCATCCACTGTTTGAGGCTTTTCTCTGGTGAAAGTCATGATTCTGCACGGAGGGCCCTAAGGGACTTGAGGACACTTTACTCAGCGCCTAGAGGCACGATGACGGGTCGATCACTCTACACAGAGGTTTCTACAGGAGTTGAAAACATGTCTACGGTGGCGGATTACACGGGGGGGCACCAGATCCCCAAAGCGCACGTTAGTGTTGCCAGAGCCTTGGCTCTTGAGAATGACACACTTGTGAAGCTATGACCTCCAACAGACCTGCCATGCTTAAACGGATCCGCTCAATTCACACATTCGTTCTGCTAGCATTCTGGATTGCGGCGATGGCCATCGCAGCAATGTTGCTCGAATTCATTTTCGGAAGCTTGTGTGTGTTTGTTTCGGTGCGATTATATTACACAGATTACAGTTTCACGTACAGCTAGAAACATGCGCCCAGCAGGGGCACCCCGCAAAAGGCCATTGCCACAACGTGTTTAATCATGAGTGCCGTGCTTCATGTTCATTACTTCTTGCTGCAGGAGGGTTGAGGTCAGGCCCTTGACATTAGCAGCCAAGGGGGTCTCACGGGGAAGCGCGAGACACAGGACGGAGGACCGGTATCATTTACCCTGGGCTGCAGACATCGGCGACCTGCCACGCAGGAACTTGGCATTGAAACACATACCCGACGATTCTGACGGAGTTCGTGGGATCACCCACGGGTGCACGAAGATGGCCATGCATCGCGCTTGGCGGTCTGGGCAGGACAGGCTGCGCGAGAGCGCAATTTGTTATCGCGCGTCGCAATCTGGGCGGCGCGGAGCGGGGAGGTAGGAAAAATAGGTCCACCATGTTTGCGCACGCGTCACTGCAGAAGGGAGAGGAGGAGGAGGAGGAGGAGGAGGAGGAGGAGAAGGAGGAAGAGGAGGAGAAAGTGGAGGAGAAGGAGAAGGAGGCGGAGGGGGAGAAGGAGGAGAAGGAGGACGCTCCTCCTCTTCTTCCACCTCCTCCTCCTCCTGCAGCTCCTTGCGGACAAGGAGGAAGACGCTGAAGAGTGCCCATTCCCATCCGCAGGGGGAAGAGGGGGAGGATCCTTCTACTCCTCGTCCTGTTCGGTCGTATTGCCTGTGGGAGCAGCGTCAATGCCACCGCCCCGAAGAACAACAAAATCAATCACTCGCTCGCGTCAGCTGCTGGTCCAGCAGTCTCTCAACAAAAGCTTGGTCGAGACCAAACCGCGCCAAAAGCTCCTTGTCGCTCCAGCGCCGTAAACAAACATGAGTCGGGGAGGGAGTTCTTGTTCGCGAGGTGGAAAGAGTTCAAAAGACTGGTGGGCTTCCGCATCGGGCCAATGGTCCAGCCCCTGCGCTGCTCAGCCCAGGTCGGAGACCCTGCTGTCTGCATCCGTCCCCTCTTGCCTGAGAAGCGCGCGGTTGGGCTCCTGGCAGGCCTTGGCCCGAGAGACGGCGCTCCCCCCCCACCCCTCCACCCCCCCCCCACCCCACCCCCACACACACACACACACACACACACACACACACACACACACACACACACACACACACACACACACACACACACGCACACACACACACACACACACACACACACGCACACGCACACACACGCACACACACACACACACGCACACGCACACGCACACACACACGCACACACACACAAATAGCACCCGCACTTGGTGCACATGGCCGCTTGGCTTCCAGCCATCACTTGTGCTCCTGATGTAGTTTCATCGGTGGCCTCAGGGTATGTTTCCGGAACCAAGCGGAACTCTAATTCGTGATCTCTGTTTATCTGGAGATCAATCAAATTGAACGCAAGACGAGGGCAGCCCATTGGGTCAACTGCCTCCCTCTCCAACCTCCGAAGCGTCCGCGGGTTAAACTTACGCACGGTGGCTTGACGTTCAGGGCGCTCACGTGTGTCCTTCAGCTGGTTCTTGGATTGATAGATCTCTTGGACGCCATACAGCTTCCAACCTGATTGGACACATTCACTAAGGCCTTGAAATTAAGATGCCGATCATTAGCAGGATTCCTCAGAGCAGCTACCCTGGCATGTTCATCGGCCTTGCCATTACCTCTCTTAAGGACTTATGTTGTGCGTTTTTCGCGCATATCGACCGTTGAACAGTGTGCTTTTCACTGTCGTAACATCCAAATCATCTTCACAAACGTGCCATATGCGCTGTCACATGTGCGCACGCTCAGACATGCTCCTCACAGAACCCGCACGATCGCGAACGCAAGAAATTGTGCCAGCTTTATCCATGTGAATGACAAAGTCCCCGAAACAGCAGTCGCACGCCATGAGCACAGCGTAGTCCTCGGCGTCCCCGGCGTCCCGAGACTGCTGCAGCGGGCATTCCGTGGCAGGCACAGCACAGCACCAACGGCCGCTGACATAAAACGGCCGTCCTCGTCAAGCACTATCGGAGACCAGCCTGCTCCCCTGGACCAGCGATTGCAAGGACGTGTCGCCGACACGTCTGAGAAAATGGAACTGCCTGGCAATTATCCAAGAAGCTAGCCGATTCACCCAAGACGCCCCAGCCTCGTGTAACATGCGCGGCCTGGGGATGAGATCACGAGGGAACTGCAGCAACCCTGCGGCAAGCTTCCTCTCATCCTGGTGCCGGTCTCGAATACCACCAAGGTCGAGGGGCGGGCAGCCGCCTCTCCTGAACACGGCCCCAATCGTTTGCGGTGCAGCGTGCCTCTCTCTCCTGCCCACATAGTCTGCACACATCGTCCTGCGCCAACTTGTGATCATACATCCTGTCCATCGTCCAAGCGGTGAGGCTAACAGACGGCCGAAGGCAGCGCTGATGGTGGTCATGCCGTGCCAGCTTGGCC